GAACGAAAGTTATTCAGGGTGATTCGTTGTTTTTTTTTGCGGACTGTACATTGCATATTTAAAATGAGTGATTTTTCAACTAGCTTTTATAAGATGGAAAATGTTATAAACCATATTAATCCGACCATTCCAACAGCAAGTAGAAGACAATTTAAATTTAAAGAAGCTATTTAATTGAAAATTAATATCAATAGCATTAAGATTAAAATTAAAGTAATTTTCAGTCATTATAATAGTAATCATTAACTTAAATTTCTGTCCAATTTGAGAAGTTTACATCTGACACTGAAGTAAAAAATTTCAAATTAATTATATATCATATTTCACAAGCAACTGCATAGAACTTTTTATTCAAATGTCAACTTCAAAATTCAGTCAAGTGTACATTTAAATTATAGACAAATTTACGGAATTTAGATAATTTGCAAATCAGTAATCATTTTTTGCTTCCGTGTGATTTACATCAGACAGCAACAATTTAATCCATTTAATTTGAACTTATAATAATCAGATTTTATAAAACAAATTGTTTCTCAATAGGTCATGATATACAATATGTTTTGTTTTATAAGATAGTTTTTCTAAGAAATTAAAGTTAATTTTTTTCCGACACCATGGAATTGCCCAGATGTAAAAACAAAAACAATTAACTCATCTAAACTAGGAAACCAAGTTATATAGGAATTCTTAATATATTCTAATAGGAAAAAAAAAATTTAAGAATTTTATTTATTTTTTGCTATAGAATATGTAACAAGAAATTTGACAATTTTTCCTTTAGAAATACTGAATATCTCTTAAAATAATAGTGCTAATTCGAAACATTGTCATTTAAACATTTGACTTATGATATTGATTTGAAGAAAATTATTTCAATAAATTTTATAAAGAGCACTGTTTGATAAAATACAGTATAAAATGGCTCTAAATGTAAATTAATATAACAATTTATTGGTTTCTAATTACCCGGAATTATTTTCTTTTGCTTAATGAAAATATACTAAATAGTACTTATCCAAGGTTGTTTTGGGTCTTTGCTATTTGGTACATTTTGTGCAAAAACTATTTAACACTTTAAAAAAAAAAAATTTAATTCATTAAAAGCGTTATTTTCTGCAAGCATTGTTTCCTCCACATCGATTCAAAATGATATATTAAAAGAATAACATTGTAAATGAAATAGTACACTTATTATATTGACATTAATATTGACACTTTTCTTGTACCTGAGCTACACTTTAGCTGAGAAAAAAAACACTGACCTGAAAATTTTAAGATATTTACTCGAAAACCTGGAAAAATCAGGGAAATTTGAAACCTGATTTGAGTGGCCAAAACTCACAATATTATGGTATTCAGTAATTACTGTTATGAATGTATTTTATATGATATCGTATTTGATAATCATAGTTATCAGTAATGATCACAATATTTGATACACCTATGGGTATTATTAGTAGCCTACTGTATTAACCAAAATCTGACATTTATTTCTTTGCATCAGTCATCACATAACCGATAAGTATCAAATCAGACATACATTTTTTATTAACCTTTTGCAAATGGCCAAGTAAAGAAGGGATCATGTCAGAAAAATGTTTATTTATAAAAAAATTTAAAACATAATATATACATATAGAGTTTTTACTAAGAGATTTTTAAAGCAAGTGGTGTTTTGAGGGCACTCCGAGACAATCTCATTTTACCATCGACGGGATCTCGTCCAAAGTACTTGACTAAAATTTCTTGATCCACTTCAAGTCCCAAAGCACTTGAATGTTTTATCTGAAAATAATAACAAAAAGTTTCAAGAAATAGACACTACAAAGAGCACTTAAACAAAGGAAGAGCTTTAGATCAATAATACTCTTTAGATAAATGAAATTAATCATGACTTACTAGTAACATTACTTTATTATTTTTAACAATCCCTCAGAACACAGTTTGGCAGAGTGAAATGTCCAAAAAAAAAAAGCCTGAATCATTGCAAACTAAATGCCAAACATAATAGTCTAAAGGAGAAAATTATTCTTTGAATTTTAAAAATATAAATCAGGAAATATTGAGGCCCCAGATTGCGGCTCCTCATATTTTGAAGTTCAAAAACTCTGTTAAAACAAATAAATTGATTACACAGTCCAATCACATTAATGGGATCTACTTTCGACGTGAAATCATAGAAGTAATTGCTGTGAAGTGTATCCGTGAAATATGCCAATATCCGTGAAATATGCCAAAATAGATATCCTCCGGAAAACTGAATTTTAACACTAGCAATTTGCTTTGGTCTAGAACAGCGGTTACCAACTGGCGGGCCGCATCCGACCATCTGAAGCCTTTTTTGTGATTCGCAAACCAAAATATATTAGTTATCATTTTTTTTGCTGACAATTTTCATAAAAAATCTATATGGGTTTTAAATACTTTTAAGTTTTATATCTTAACAATTTGATATATGATGCACATTCATTGTTTAATACATAGGTGCACATTAAAGTTATTGTAGCCAGAATGTTTTAATATGCAATTAAATATTTTTAAAAATCTACTTCTTATTTTAATTTGTTATTCAATACTTTTGTTTCGTACAACTTGATAAAAATCTGACAGTAATATTTAATGTTCCTTCAAACATAAAAGAATCCTATATAAAATTTTGATAAAGTTGCGGCCTGCCATTTGACTGGTGTGTTTAATTGTGGCCTCCGGTCTCATGTAAGTTGGAAACTCCCGCTCTAGAAGAACTCAGAAAAGGTTTTTTCATTTCTGCATTAACTTAGGAGGATGCACGCCTCAGATACAAACACAAAAACCTGTGGGGGGGGTCTCCCCACAAGTTTTAGTTAAAACTTTTGTTTACCGTAATATTTGAAGGGGAAATTATTATAATATTCAAGCTTTTAAAACTTATTCACACACCAAATCTATTCTCACAAAAAGCCAAAAAAATAACAGTACCTAACTCTATAAAGTTTTTTTCTTTAATTTTTGTTTAATCATGCAGTTAATGTTTCTTTGTCCTTATTATGAGGGCAAATGTAACAACATCCAACATTCGATTTCAAAATTAGCAAATGGCGACAAAAAAAGGGTATTCTTACTAGAATGAAACAGGTAAGAATACTGTCTCAGGGATGAGAGTAGTCAGAAAGTAAAAAAGAGGAAATCCAAGAAAGAATATATATATACAAAAATTTAAAAAAAAAGAAAAGTGAGATTTTTAAACTTGTAAACCATGTGATTATAAATCCCGATGATTAATTTTTTTAAATTGTATAAATACATGAATATGAATCACATGCATTTAAATTGNTTTTTTTTATGTACATAATCTGCAGTATTATAAAGAAGAGTAAACCGAGGAACATAAACGAGGCTTCATTAGACGAAGACATTAATTTTTTGATGTGCATTAATTTGTAGAAGTTACATGTTAACAGGACTTAACGGAGGTACAAGGTCAACCATTCAACCCCAGTTTCCAATAGGAAGTTAGAAAAGAGCTGTGTTCAAATTCAGAGAGGGTCGTTATATTAAAAGTTGACCTTTTTTAAGGTCGTTATAGCAAGAGTAAAATAACATTATCTTTTATGGATGTGAATTGGGACTCCTTCACAGGGTCAATATATCATGTTGGTCGTTCTATTACAGGGTCGTTATAACACGAGTCGACTGTATATACAAAAATTTGACAAAAAAAAAAGTGTGAGTTTTAAACTTGTAAACCATGCGATTATAAATCCCGATTATTAATTTTAAAATTTTATGAATATATGAATCACATGCGTGATTTTAAATTGAGAGAAAATGAATCCTAATATGAGGCTTTCAAATCACCTGAATATGAAACTCTATATTGAATTTAAAAAATGCAAAAATACAAATCATGATGCTTAATTTTTAGATCATGTAAGTATGAATCACAATGCATAATTTTTAAATTGCACGAATACGAATCCCAATGTCTAATTTTTAAAGCACGTACAAATAAGAAAATCGATGTTTAATATTACCGCCGCAAAAACGAATCATGACATTGGATTTTAAGCTCGTGTGAATACAAATCGCTACATAGGATTTCAAAAGCGCGTAAATACAAATCGCCATATTGGATTTTTAAATCTCTTAAATAAGAATCGCAATGTACGATATTTACATCACCTGAATAAGAATCACAACGTTCAACTTTTAAAAAAGGTAAATACGAAAATCGATGTTTGATAATAAAATCGCGATTTTAGAATGCATAAATACAAAACACGATATTGGATTTTTAAATCATAATGTACGATATTTAAATAGCATAAATAAGAATAGCAATGCGCAGCTTTAAAATCAGGTAAATACGAAAATTGATGATTGATATTAAAATCGATTTACTAAGAATCGAGATATTTGCAGAGTCTGGGCTTGGAATTTCTAAAAGGCTTGTTTATATTGTTTTTGCTTAGACATAATAAATAAAAATTTACAAGATCAATTGATTGAGCAAATAAATATTTTCAACGCTATTTTTTTTTGTTTGTTTGCTTTCACCCCAGAAAACAGGAAGCAGCGACGTCTGAATTACAAAAATACGAGCTACCCAGAGGACAAATAAAAATATGGAAAATCTTATTTTCTGTGCATAAAAGCGGAGAAAATAACTAAAATAATTAAAAAAGCGGAAAGGTTAACAGCTGGGACATAGTTTGAAATTTATGTTTATCTTTGAAAATCGTAAATAAATATAATTATTTTATTTCAACCACAGAATTTTTAAAAAAAAAGAGGGATATATATTTTTAAAAAAAATCCGAAACTTTTAGACAATCAGAGTTTTTGGCTAAAATTTGAAAAAAGGCTGAAATTCTAAAGTCAAAAGCGAAAATGCACTAAAATCAAAAAAATCTCATCCCTGCATACAGGTCAACCAGTTTTATCCCAAGGAAATTATTTTTAGAAAAACTTCAGAGGGAGGAATGAGGATTTCAATATTTTTGCTCCACGTAAAATTAAATTCCTCATAAAATATTTTAACTTGTGCAAAAAAAATTTCTGGGGAAATTGGCAGGAAAAAAAAGTGGAAATCTGCAGAAGAATCACATCCCTGTGTTTACAACATATTTCAAGGCTGTCTTTAAGTTGATTTCAGAAAATCTGTGTTTTTTAGTTTTACAATAAATAGAAGCAGACGACGCCTGGTGGCTGAGTAGTAGCGCTTCACGTTTCCGTGCCACAGGTGTGGGGTTCGATGTTCGAGCTGGGTAAGGTCAACTCGTCCTTTCAGTGGGCCGATAAATGAGCACTGAGCATGCTCGGGAACTAAACACTGGGGGTTCCGCGTTCGGCTGACCATCTGACCGGAACATCTGCTCCTGCACGCCAGAGTGCAAGGTCAAGAAAACTGATATGGGCACAGTAGAACTTGGCCCTCTAAGGGCTGTCGCGCCACTGAGTTTAGTTTAAAGAAACAGACCAGAAAAAAACTTAAATTAATTTTTTTTAAATAAAAACCAAATTAATAATCTTTTCTTCAAACACAACATAACAATATAACAAAATTCTATGTTTGACATGTAATAATTTTTAGGTTTAAAAATTAGAATGTAAATAAAATATCTGAAGTTCTATTTAATTTGCTCTAGATATATTAAATGGCAATGAAGTATAGAGAAACTAACCTTATAAGTGAAATTAAGAGAAAAGTCATTCTTAGGAATGATTAGATCAGTCTTTTAAGATATAATAATGAAACATAATTACTTTTTTGTGGTCCAACATGGAATTTTTTATGAAAGTGGGCTTCATGTTAGGATGTAAAGTTACCATGACACCAGAATCTCTGAAAATATCAATTACAATAGAATAAGCACACCCATCAAATAAATAAGCAAATATTTTAATTGATGAGGAATTAGAAGAGAGGATTGGGGAAGGAGAGGATTAAATAGGAGAAATTTTTTAACTAATTATCAGTCTACTGAAAACAAACAAATTTTGAAAAATTAAAGCTTGGAAATACAGGTTTAAGACAATTTAAAGTGAGCAAGAATCTGTGATGAATCAACAAAATGTTGAGTCATCAAATGAGAGTGCAATAGTCTTACCGAACCCAGCTCAGTAGACGCACCTACAGGATCCAAAGTATTTTATCAAACATGTAAAATTATTGGCACTTTTAAACGCTACAGACTGAATGTAAGCCAAAATGGATTGCGGTTGAATAAATTGTTTAAACATTGAACAGAACAATGTGAAAAGCACGCTTTAGCATAATACATAGGGAAAATTGACATGTTAAAGAAAAAATTCTCATCTTGAAAAGGGAAAATTAAGCATTTTTTAAAAATAACCAATAAAATAAGTACCTTTAAGAGCTTTTCAAAAACACTACACACCATAATTTTGGAAATACAGGCTTAAGACAATTTTAAAAAATGAAATAATGCCTCGAGTAAAAACAAGAAATTGTGATGCAACAAAATGAATGGTTTCTTGAAAGATAAAATTGTAGTTAAGTATTGTCTTAACGCTAGCGATTTTCAAATGCAAAATTCTCACTATTAAAGTGGTCTTATACTTCTAATAATTTGCAATTGAAAATCATATAATAGACAAAAAATAAGTGAAAAATACAAAATATTATTAATACAGTCGGACCTCCATTTAACAAAGTCGCTAAATCCCGATAATGAGTTTGTTATATGGAAAGTTCGTTACATAGAAAATCACCTTTTGCAATACCTAAATAACACAAAACAGGTTGTTTTAAATTAATAAACACTACACATAATTAAAATAGCAATTGATACACCTTTACCTGGTAAACTAATATTTACTAATTGTTTTATAAATCTTAGTCATTAAAGAAATCTGAATGAAAGGCAAGAACAGAGCAAAACATTATCCAGTGTTACACTATCACACTAAATACATTTTCAACAAAAAAAGAGCTAAATTTATGTTTAAAATTACAGTTGCATTTATTGTAAAAGTAATTTTAAACATACATTACCAAACACATTCTTAAGTTTAATTGCTACTGATAAAATCCGTTAATTTTGTCAGAGTTTTTCGCTTGAAATACAAACAAAAAAGGAAAGGAATTTTACTGCTTTCTCTAAAAGTAAGTGGCTTTGAAAATCAATTTCCCCCATAAAATGTGTCAAAAAATTTGAAATATTCTGAAATATTGTGGGAGATAGGACAAATGGATCTCAAAGAAAAGTTCGTTAAATAGAAAATTCACTTCACTATTNATATGTATAGATATATATAAATGTGCAAAATGGAAGTAAGTTAAATAGAAGGGGGAATGTAATTCCATTTTTAACACTTTTGATACAAGCATATTATTTAGCTTTCCACACAATATCCTGTGTGTACAATTGCTTCATTTGGCTCTACACACAGAGCAAAAGCTTACCTTATTTTTAAAAATAAGTTGTGCTATAATTTTACAATGCTTGAAAAATTTCCAAATATATTGTCTGCATCACTTAAATACGAGAATCTAAACATCAGCTTACCGACGTGCAATGTGCACCCTTCAGAGGTGTCACTTTAGCGGAGCTGTAATTAAAGAACTGAAGTGCTCTTTGAAGAACCATAATTAAGCGCATTGTTCTATTTTTTAAGAGCCATGGTTGAAATGCAAGATAATTTTGACCTTAGACGGAGGATGAGAGCCTCAATTTCCATACCATAAAAATAAAAAACTTTCAGCACAACAGATACATCTTGCATGCCACTTTTTTAAGTCGGCTGCTCGGATATATCAGAATTGGAGATAAAAATCAGGACACGTGATTGACAAAAGAAGTAATTATCCGAAATTTTTTCATTTTCTTTTTATGCATACCTGACAATTTTATGCACAATCTTTTAAATGATAGCCATTTTGGAATTACTTTTTCCAAAACAATGGTTCTGCGGAAGAACCACATGTCTGCAGCAAGTTTTTTTTCTTTCTTTCTTATTAAGTAGGATGATTATTTATGAAATTAATTACAGAACAACTTACTTAACTTCGACAATCTTTGCAGAATAAATAGCTCCATATTCAAACTCAGGAACCATCTGCAAAAAGAATTGATTTTTTTTTTCTTTAAATTGGGAAAAAATTTTAATGGAAGAAAACTATAGAAAAATGAATATATAAAGGAAAAAATTCATTATTTGCACTGAAAGTTAATTGAATATCCATTATAGTTAACACAAGAGAGTTTAGAAGTAACCTTCGATTTCTTCTTATTTTCAACTTTAAAATCAATTTTGCAATTAAAAATTGCCTACAGGGTTGCTTTTGATTTTCTGAAAAGTTGCTTGCAACAAATTACCACTTTTAGTTGTTTCTTTTAGCATTAGGCAACTATGAAAACTTCATTGCATTTATTCTATTCTATCACTTTGGTTGATCCATTTTCTATTATTCCCAGGATTAGAGGTCAATAGGTATCAGCTGAGGAAAATGAAATTGCAGCAGCTTCTCTTTGAATTCAAGAAGTATAATTATAATATAATCAGTATTCAGGTTGAGTGTTTTGTTTGCAACTGTAATTATAGTGGTTATCCAATTTTTTCCTTGCATAGTTTAATCAACAGCACAATTCAGGGTTAACTGGTTAAAAAAATTTTAGTGTGGTTTAAACTATGTTAAAAGCATAATGCTTTTGTTAAAAAAAAATTAAAAAAACAAGCCTGTTTTTAAAAAAAAGAATTCTAAAAAAGTTATTATATACGCTTTATAAAAAAAAATTCTTTTTGAATATTGAAAACAGAAAAAAAAACAAATGAAGTTTCCTAACATTTTTGAATTTTATTTCTAATGGAAATTCATATAAGACATAAATCTCAAATGTTTACAAAGAATTATTTTTGATAATAATACCTAAGTAAAATAACTTAGTGCATTGAGATAAAAAGCAGTTCACAGCACAAAAATAACGGTGGGGTGAGATCTCTTCAACAACTCATTCTGAGACGTGTTCTCATTCGGAGGTCCTCTAACATGGTCACAAAAGGACAATTATTGTTGAGGTGGTCTGATGGAAGATGTAAAGCCCTGAATGCATAGATTAAGTAGCATTTCTACAAGTATCTTGTGACAGCAATATGGAGTTTCTATTCTTAAATGCTGCTTTTTATTGATCATTCTTGAAGTGAAGATAACATAAATATTTACTATTTATTCTTTCAATTTTTTTTCCTTTCTTTGAAATTATGTTTTATTTTTATTCTACTCAGTGACAACATTATCTTAACTTAAAACTTTCTCATTTCATCTTACATAATTTGCTATAACTTTTTTTTCTTGACTCTTTGAAATTTTTTGTAGTTGGTTTTTTAATGAGGCTCAAAGGGTGGTCCATGTAATTTGGGGATTTAAGCTATTTTGGACATTATTATCTGTGTTCAAAGAAAAGCTTTTTTTCACAACAGTTCAAATCTTTTATTTCGTAATCGATACCCATTGTTATATTTTGCCTTTTATAATAAAAAATTACTAATACTTTTAAGTATAATTAGTTACATTTAAAATGAAGTCTTAATTAAAATTTTAGATGCAAATAACAAAATCGAAAATCATTATATTATAAAAGCGCAATTTAATTTTGAAAATGCTAAATTAAATAAAAATGTGGTAGTCAATAAAAATATAAAATGAAACTTTTCCCTTTCAAATGCACAAGTAATAGAGCTGTTTTATTTATCTGCTTTTATGTTTTTTTCTTATATTTTTTTAAACAGCTATCATCTAAAATTTAAGCCCAAAAAAAAATTGCACTCAGTGACTTTGTATTTGCAAATTTATCGCCTGCGCAGGCGAAATGGAATAGTACCTATAGAACATATACAGGGTGCGTAGCCAAATCTTTGAATCAAAAATAAGCACTTTTTAAAAATTTTTCAAGCACTTTACAAAAATTTTCAAGCACTCAAAAATTTTTTTATTAAATCAATGATGTTATTGAAAAACAAAAACTTTTTATAAACAGTTTTAGCGTTAAAAAAAAACCAAAAAGAAACGGGCGTAAATCGAAACAATCAGTACTTTCCCACATCACCGAGTGAATTCAACTTGACCCTGAATTCAGAACAAAAGTACCCTTACCCCCTGCGTCAAAAAAAGTGTTAGAAGTAAAATAAAATAAACAAGAACAAAATTAAAATAAATTAAAAAGAAAAAAATTTCATAAGTATCTGATATTCGCTATCCGAATTAGAGCACTCGGGTTTCGGTTTCAAGTGTGCGCGCATGCGCAAGTCATAACGTGGGTACGACATGAAGCCCGCGTGAATAATTACGTAGCAAACTCCCCATTTTTCATGAAATGCATGGGATCCACCAGATATCACTGAAGGGGAAAAAAAATTATTCGAAAAAAAAAGCACTTTTTAAAAACTCCAGCTGAAAACAGCACCTTTAAAAGCTTTTAAAAACGAAATCCCCAAAAAGCACCTTTAAGTACTTTTTACAAACGCTACGCGCCCTGATATAAATATTAAACCAAAAAAAAAAAATAATAAAACTCACTTAAACAGCATTAATAGTTTCAGAAAAATTCCACATTTTATCAAAACAAAATTAACTGATCTTTAATTGTATTATCTAACCAATATTACAAAAATAAGAGTTAAAGCTATTTAATTCATATAGATTTGCTATGATTGAGATATATTATTTGAGTATTTATAATATTTTATTTTAACATTTTATATTTTATTGCGAATATTTTATTTTAACATTTTATATTTTATCGTGAATATTTTATTAAACTTTAAAATATTGCAAGTCAAGAAAATAGAAACAGCTTACTTTGTCGAGTAGAAGTTTATCAACAATTTCTTTCGCCTCTTGCATGGCTTGAGAATTTGGAGCAAAAACAGAAAACAAACCCTCCTCTTTATGTGTTAGTTGTACACCTTTAAATATAAATAAAAAAAAAATTATTTTAAATTGAATGATGAACATACTAAAGAGAGATGGGAAAATAAAAGTACTACCTGTTCGAGAATGAATCTTTTTTAAATTCATTCCTCCTGATCCAATGAATTGGCCAAGTTTGTGGAGAGGTACTTCTAAAGTTTCTTGTGTAAGAAAAAAAAATATTATTTATCCAAAAAAGATGTGCTACAGATGAATAGAGTACAAATAAAGTAAAAATAAAACAATGTGTTTGTATGTGTGTCTCTCTCTTATAATTCCAAAAGCACTGTGAAATTTCGACAGTAAGTGAAATTTTATCTTCCCAAACACCGTTCAAAAATTTTAATTAGATTGCTCAGAAAAAACACTTGAAAAATGGAATTGCTTAAACATTAAAACATTAGCCATTGTTATAAATTAGGCAAATTTTTTCAAATGTTCAAAGGATCATTATTAATAATAAAACGATAAGATAATACTGTTTGCCATCTTAAAATTCTTTTTAATACAAAAAATACTTTTTTAATGTTTAATTATTTTTTTCCCTACGTCAAGTATGATCAATCATAAACATGAATGGGGATTATTTCTAAAGTTATCTCAACCCATGCATTTATTTTGTTTACTATTAGGCATTTCAAAGGTGTTTCTCATCATCATTGTTGGCCAGACAGCCTAATGTGGGCCAATGACTTCTTCTGAAGATTTCTCCATAACTGTATTTGATTTATCTTTGATCTTCAACTCTTTTCATTAATTGGAAGAATATCAGCCCATCATTCCCCACTTTCATGTTCCAATGAGTCAAAAAAGCAATATCTTATTTATTGTATTGTCATCACTCATTCGAATCACGTAGGCCATCCAATTTATTCTATTTATTTTTATGTGTTTAATAATATTAAGTTGTTTATAAATCTCGTACATTTCAATGTCAAATCTCCTTCTCCAGTTATTGTTTTCATTTACACCACCAAGTATACTCGGCAAAATCAGCCTCTCAATTATTGCAATACAATTTTCCTCCAGTTTTGTCAATGTTCAGGCCTGAAAGGTGCTTCTATAAAATTGAATATTTCAAAATCAATGGTAATTGAAATTTTTAAAAAAAAAGTTTTGTACTAAAAATCAAAAGTGATGAAGAAAAGGTGCTTATTTGTTTCAGGAAACCATAGAAAACCACAAAACTATTATTGACTAATTAATTTCAGTACTTAGTACTACTGGTATGCAAAAGGTGCTATTTTAATTGATACCAAATGTACAAATAGTGTATTTAATATAGGTATTGTTATAATTAGTTTTTTATGACCCTGAAAGGGATAAATACTGATACTCTATCGTGTCAAATTTTGACAATCAGAATTTGATTAAGTAATAACAATGTGTCAAATGTTACTGAATAAAGTTAATCTATATTTTGATGGGATGAACGTTTCAATAACTGTTTTAATTAATACAATGTAAAGCCATCGGAAAGTACAAATAACAATTAGATAAAAAATTTAATTATTTAAAAAAAACTTTTAACTATGACAGTGTATGCATTCCGTATTGTACAAGACTTCATAGCCTTGATTAATACTATTTAATGATTATTGTACTTTGTAAGAAGGACTGTGTATTGACTTACTGCAATAATATTTGATACTTAAATAAATAAAAAACAGAAATCTGAGGGTTTTCTTATGCACGAGAAGAATTTTTTTGAAATCTTTAATTTAAATAATACCTATAACTGGCCAAGATTTTTTCTTTTCTTCCCTAGGTTTAGATATTGCTTGATTCATAATATTCAGAATTTTACTCCAGCTATCTGAAAAATATTAATAATAAAAAACAGATAAATCAGTAGATTGATTAATTGCATACAAGTTAAATATAACTATATTTTATTATTACTTTCATTTCAAACAATCTAGCACAGAAGTTTAATTATATTCTTCATTAAAAATATTTTTAAAAAAAGGGATTAACAAAGCAGTTTAGAACATTCAGAGACTGCAGTTAGAAATTCTTCAGTATGTGACAGTCAAATTACTATAATAAAAGTCAATTTGATTCTCAATAAAAATTAAAAAGTAAATGATTTTTGTTAATTCATAAATATGAGGTAAATAATTTCAGTCAGATTGCTTAAGTCAGTTAAGTCAATTGCTTAATTGGCCATAATGTAAAATTAAAGTTCATTTCATCTTTCTAGAGAAGTAACATACCTTTTGTATGACTCATTAAGTGTCAATTGTATGGATGTTGTGATATCACTGCCATACGTCAAGAGGCTTACTTTTTCGTTCCCTTGGTGCCTCACCTGTTTTTTTCTTCCTCATGGTCAATTGTAAATATTCATCATCAAAATTAATTATTCATGAAACTGTCTTATTGCTTCTGTCCTGAAATAACTCTAGCCCTGACAAAAAGTGAAAAACCCTCAAATTTTGGTGGTTTAATTTAGATACTATGCATGTTTAACGTAAATTTTTAAACTAAGATTTTTCATTAAATTATCTACCAAGGAAGAATACCACATCTTTATAGTAACTAATTTAAAAAAAAACCTAGTTCTTATAAGAATCGCGAGACTGGATTTTAAGAATGTGAAAATATAAATTTCGATATTGGATTTTTAAATTGCATAAAAACGAATCACGATGCATAATTGTTAGATCACATGAATACGGACTGCAATATCGGCCTTTAAAAAAGCATGAATAGGATTTTAAACTCACATGAATAGCGACATAGGATTTTAAACTCACAAAATCAATGATTGATATAAAACTCATATAAATTATGAATTGCATTATTAGTGGATTCCAGCGTAGCTTCAAATGTTAAAAATCCAGAGGGGAAAAAATAATCAAATTGACGAAAAAATTACATGTTTGAAAATGCCCTGTTAAAATGTTCATCATCCCTACAAGTTTTTAATCTATTGTATTAAGCGACTGGCATCTACTCTATCTGCACACACACTGAAAATAGGAAGCTTGTTCAAGCATACATTATGTGGTCATTTGTTTTAACAAAAATTATGAGGATTATAAAAAGTTTAAAAAAATTATATCAAAGAATATAAGTAATCTCACTGTATTCAGAGTTAAAGATATTTTCCCAGAGTTGTAATTCAGATGGCCATTTTTCAACTTGCACAAATTAAAATAACGATCTGAGTGAAAATTAAAGCTTGAAATCAAAGTTACATGGCTATTTGGTCAAGCAATAAATTTGTATATTGATTAGCATGGCGATAACTATTTCCCAACTTTTATCTTGTCCAGGATTATAACAAAAATAACTGTTTAACTAACACATTACATGGTTTCCTTCAGAATATTGTAATTCAATAAGAGCTCAATTAAGCTACTTCAAACACTGAATATAAGATATCATATTATTTAGCGGACATTACGGCACAACACTTTTTTAGACAGGGTGTGCCTCAATTTTTCATCTTCACAAGGTTTGCAGCCTTATAAAATCAAAAACAGGCATGACACTTCAAAAATGAATGTTTTTCTTACGAGGGTCCCTTTCTGGCTTTTTTAGGTATTTCTATGATTCATTATTTTCACAATAATTGCATTAAATTTTGATACAATATATTTCAAAACAATATAGGGAAATGTGCATTTGCAAAAATAACTAAAGTGGCAGAAAATGAACAAAATGGCATTTCTAAATTTAATGTGTTCTGTTTTTATTTTACGCACTGTATATTGCGCTATAAATGTTTTCAAATTTTATTACTTAAAAAAATTATTTCATAAAAAACCATTAATGGTGTCATTCATTGTTATGGTTGCAGAAGCCAAATGAGTTTAGCTACTGAAGTCACAAATCTGCAGATTAAGGACTTTAACCCTTCAGATAACTGGAAACTCTAAATTAAACTCAGAAAATGAACCACCAATCATTATTTTATATTTTTTATATTTAATACTATATCTCAGCAATGAAATATTTTTACAACAAAATTATAAAACAATTATCCAAAAACAATTTCAAACTAAATATTATTATTTATTTTTTTTTCGTAATTTATTAAATATATTTTTGTATGTAACTTAACAACCAAAGATTCATTGAAAATAAAGTATGCTTACAGTTACTTTGTTAAACATTGTTAGAATATAGAATTAATAAACAACAAAATGTAAACATTTTAACAAATTGATTTAACAGTTTTTGAAAAATAACAAAAGAAATATTCATAATATGAAAATAATAAATTTTAATCGCAACTAACTTACATTTTTAATTCAAACATTTTTTTTGGTCAACATATTATTAAATAAATGTTAATGCTTTGCACCAAATTTTATATTATGAGCTCAAAATTATGTAGTTTTATTTGAGGGATACAATTTTCACCCGCTATCTTTTTATACACTGTATAAACATGTTATAATTAAATTCTGTAATTACCTGCAGCTAGGGAGAGTGACTCATCTATAATATTTAATGGAAGACCAGGTATTTTAACATCTAACTGAAAAGAAGAAAAAAATGGCTATTTTTTTTCATCAAGAAAGATAATTTCAATATCATCAGCTAATATACTAATAAAAACAACAGATTAACTTTTTCAACCGTAACTTTTAATTACAGATAACTGATATATGTAACTGAAATTTAAATATACATAACTGAAAGTCTCAGAATCAAGTACCACGCCACTATAAGTCCCGAAACAGCCTTAATACACCACTGAACTTCTTCAGCAAAAAGCAAAATCAACCATGTCAAACTTAAAAGTCCCACTAACTGTACAGAAAGGTTCACAAAGGCTACCTTCCCATACATTCCTTCAATAATTAATTAAGTACACTATAGCTTTAAATCTGCTAATAGCATTCTTTTTTATCAAGAAATTTAAATTTTTATAAGGCTAACAAAGTATTTTATGGAGAACAAAACATGACTATTCAAGCAAATTTAATAATGGAGCTTCAAGCCATTAAATTTGAGAATATATTTTTTTTGTTGGAAAGAATAAATTTTTACAAACAAATAAATTCTGCATACATTCACCCTTTAATAATAAAAAATATATTTAAAATAATGAATGTGAACACTTTTCTAAAAAAAATACAAATTCTATTTTTATCAATTTTGCATTTTTTTTACTGTTTTATTTGGTTAGAATGCTTTAATTTTAATCATTAAATTGCTCAGAAGATTGTTTATAGTATTCCTTTTGGTTAGCAATGTTTGTTCTGCAGTGGTTGCTAATCTTGAAAGAGGGCATCACATTCGGTTTCGAACAGTTCAGTTATTATTTCATTAATATAAAGTTTCTAATTAAATGCAAATTCTTGAATGGTGTTTAAATATCAAATGAAATTTATGCACATGCTCTGGAATGAGACAAATTTTTCTTAGAGTAAATTTTTTTCAGACCTTACGAGATTAAAAATGAATTTTCATAGTAACTATAAATTCCGCTTCCTTACAATTTTTAAACAGTTGTCAGAATATCAGTTGAATGGCCACAGAAAATATTTACTGATAACATCAGGGTTTCTACTAAAATCCGGAGAAAAAGAACTTTCTCTGTACGTATTCAAAACGTTATACACAAAGTATTATTAATTACTGTGCTTTTCTATGAGCTATACTGGGCTAACTACAGGAAAAATTTGGAGTAAAAAAGGAACCGCTGGACATACTTAAATAATGCTATAGAGCCTGGGATAGCCAGGTTTGTAGGGCACTGGGCCCACGTTCAAGAGGTCGTGGATTCGATCCCTGACAGCCAAAGACTCTCTGTGAAGCACGTTAAATCTGTTGAGTCACAAAGTACTCCATGTTTCCGTAACAAATCATACTTCTGGAGGTACTGATCCAGGAGTTTCCTCGTCTTCTGGATTATATTCAAAATGACAAGGCTACGGAGTTGAACATTAGTAGTCGTAAACCCAGAATTGGGTCGGCTGTTCAACGACGGTTATAAAAAAATAATAAATAATGCTATGATAAATGAAATAGTTTAATAAAGCTGAAATGATTTCCTTAAATATCCCATAGATTGCTCTTTCAGTGGTTACTATTTTTTAAGAGACAAAAATAAAAAAAATTTCCTGTAAAGAAAAACTAAAAATTCCCTGTTTATTTTGGTGATATTTAAATTCCCTGTATTTTGTCCTGCTCTCCCTGTGGAATGGCAACCCTAAACAACTATTAAGAAATTTGTAAGCACATTTCAAGTAAAGACTTAAAAAAAAAAAAAAATCTATGTTCACCTGAACAGCAGTAATGCCTTCTTCTGAACCAGATACTTTAAAATCCATATCACCAAGATAATCTTCCAAACCCTGAAATTTGAATTTCATTAATGAAAAATGACTTAACATTATTTTATTTCTAAGAATACAGGATAAGTTTCAAAGTTGCCTCAAAGCGGCATACTGACGAAAAAAACCCTAAAAGATTCGTGTGTGTTTGAAATATCTCAAGAGTTCAAAGGAGTGACCCCAATTATGCAAATCTCTTAATACAGAGTATAGTTAAAATTATGAAATCAGACACAAAATAGTTTCTCACTTTTCGTTCCAAGTATTTGGATGTATGACCATTAAAATAGGATGGGAAGCAACAATCTGGAAAACATGGTTCTAAAAGTTTATGCAGTAGAAAATTTGGGCACCTTTAACTTAATTTCTTTTTTTGTACATTTTTGTGTCTTATCTCACAACTTAAAATATCATTTGAATTTAATTTACATGTCTGAAGTCATCCCTTTAAGCTATTAAGACACACATGTTGTTTGTAAAAATTAGATTATTAGAGTAAAAGTGAATTTTTTTTAAGATATAGACAATTATTTGTTTGATCTGGACGTTTTTTAACTTAGTTGCCTCTCAGAGTGGAAGTCGTACAACTTTTCTATGGCAAGTAGATATCAAACTGAACCCTGAAAAATAATTTTTTAACTCTCCAAACAAGATCCAGTTTATTGCAAAAATATAGTCTAGACCAACCGTTGACTTTTGAAAGTCATTCATGTCCATCATGGCTTGAAATGAACAGTGGTCTGACCTTAAGAATTGGACTCACATCACGATAAAATAATTATCAGTGGTCCCCAGACCACAAAACGATGTAAAGTGTGTTTTTCTGTGTTGTCACAAAATAACAAATTTCCATAATGTACCTCACATTTATTGTGTTTTCATTTAAGATCATTTTTAACCAAAAATCTAATACTGGGTGCATAGCTCTCAAAAGGGTTTAAAAAATTAACCCCTTTTAAGTACTTTTTAAGCACTCAAAAAATACTTTTAATCAGTGTCCAAAAAAATCTAAATAAGGATCTGTGCAGTATTGAAAATTATTTTTTTTTGTTTAAAGTTCTTAACTTATAAACATAAAATCAATAAAATTCAAAAACGTTTTCAAAAACTTTGCATACATAAAATAACTAGCTTCTGATAAATATTGAAGAGAAAATTGTGAAGATCATGCATTTTTTGTAATTAAGAATGACAAATGACACAGCAAAGAAAACAATCTCTTGAAAGATCGAAAATTAAAAATAAGTACCTTTAAGCATTTTTTAAAATAAATGCTTTGCACCCTGTAATAAAGATATGCAAATGGACCAGAGAAAATATGTATATAGACCAGACTATAATATCTTTTAGTTACAAACAAATGACTAAAATTTTTACACCTGTCCTAAGTAGCTCTGTATCAAAGATTGTTTTTCAAATTTCAATAAATACTGAAGGTGGCATGCATAAAAATTACCAATATATCAGCCAATATAGCATATTTTTCTATGCTTGTGTTATCTTCAGTATTGTATGCAGTTATCAAGCCTATAGCAACACCAGCAACAGGAACTGATATGGGTACTCCAGCGTCCATCAGTGCTAATGATCCTCCACAGACAGTTGCCATCGAAGACGATCCTATAACATCAAATGACAGTTAAATAAACATGCTTTTTGAGCATTTATAAAATGTTTTTACAATTTGTTCATAAAAAAGAATTTTAAAAAAAGGAAAATAAATTAAAAGCTTGGCAGATTTAAAATCATTAAAAAAAAGTTTTTTTTTAACAGCACATAAATGCTTCTAAATCTTGTTTCGAAAAGAAAAAAAAAGTATTTCTGTTAGTTTCGTAAGTTTCTTTCCGAAATTTATTTGTTTTTATTTTATATAATCTTTATTATACTTAGAAATATTCCTGCTTTGAAAATTTTTATGTCATGTTAAAAGTTTAAAGAGTGTGGCTTTGGATCAAAGTGTGGAAAGTAATAAGATTTTTGAACTTGAACAACAAAAACCTTTCGAAAAAATTTTCAGAATAAAAAAAATTAAGAAAGGAATATTTTTGGGAGATAATGTGGACAAATTTTTACATATTTTCTTAAAAAGTTTATCATGAAAAGTACTTCGTTATTAAATTTGCATTTTGAACTTTTATCTTCACTTTGGTACATAAGTAGATTTAAACACAAATTTCCTTCTTCTGTGCCCTAAGGAAATGCCTGCAGATGTTATTTTTTAAACTGAGATGCATCAGTTAATTTAATATGTTTAAATCAAAAAGTTTCGAGCAATTTTCTAAGTAGTTTTTGTACTTTTTGAAAGAAAGCTCAAAACAATCAGGGGTTTTCCAGAAATTTCATTTTATACTATTAAACAAAATGAACAAACCCCTGGTCATTTTGAGCATTCTTTTAAAAATACAAAAACTACTTAGTAAATTGCTTGAAACTTTTAAATTAATATACTCAAATCTTTTTTCCTTAGTTGCCAAATACTATTCACTACAAATTTAAGAAAAATATTTTTAGATTTTTCCTCGGCGGGGGAGGGGGGCAGTATAAAAGAACTACCTTAAATACTTATATCTTACACAGTTTTTAAAAGAGGTTTTTTCTAAATTTTTGAAAGTAATTTTGAAATTAATTTTAAATTGCTCCAGAACTATTGTTCTATTCCATTGAATATTTATAAAGCTATAGGAAAAAACATAAGGCAGAAAATTTAGTTTTTCATAAAATTGTCCATATTTCCATAAATATTTACTCTAGGTTTACGAAATCATTTGCAGTTACTTCAAAACAACTAAAATAGATACAAGTTACAAGTTTATTGCTTGATTTTCTGGCAATAGGGTGTACAAAAATACTTGTTTTCTTTCACAATTTATTGTCGGTCTCCCAAACCTCTGAAGGCATTAAATATTATTGCAAAGTACGAAAAACATGAGTTAAACATCTCTTAACTTATAAATTAATCATTTAAGTATTTCTTGAGAAATTTAAAAACATGTCAAAAACTCAAAGTGTCTATTCCATTATGGTAGGGTCGTGTATATATACATATATTATGATTATTAATATTTGCTATAATATGAAAATAATATATATTCCAATCAGTTATAAATAATAAAGTACTATATCTGTAAATAAATAAACAAGGGTTAATAGTATTTACCAGGTTTTTCCCCATAAAAATTGGTTTTTCCCTGGCAAATAACTAACCCCGCCTATAGTCAATAATTAAAAAAAAATTTATATTATAATCCTAATTAAAAACCGTGTTTAAAAAGTAGATAAATTGTTTTAAAAAAATATAGTCTTATCAAAATAAAAAGGAGAAGAGGATAACCCTAAGTACAATTAAATAAAATCATAAAAAATAAAACTTACACAAATTGAAATCTCAATCCGATTTAATCATTTTAAAATTATTATTTTTCTCTCATTCTATTTTTAGAGTTTTGGATATAGGTTTCAAAAATAATACATAAATACCATTAGATGCTAAGACTTCAGAGGTTAACCTTATGGTAAAAGGAAATCCTACTGGAATGACAGGTTTCAGACTTTTTTCTGCTAAAGCACCATGACCAATTTCTCTTCTACCAAATTTGCCTACACGTCCAATTTCATTTGTAGCATAAGGTGGAAACTAAAAAATGAGAACAATTAACACTTTAAACAAGATTTGGAACAAATTCTAAATAAATAATCAGTATTTGATCACCTATCTCAGAATTTGAACATGCAAAATGTTTAATTACTTGTTAATAATTAGGTACATAGCAGTTAAAACAATTTAAAAGAAATAAATATGAACACTATTCAATACATCTATGTTTTCAATATTTTATAATTTTTTAATTAACATGTAACATAATTGAAAACATTAATAATGTCAAATTTATTAAGGTTTTCTATACATGTATGAAATAAATTATGTTTTAAATTATAATAATTATGTTTACTATTAAAAATATCTAATTTATTTAGTATTAATGAAATATTTATCGGCTCCTATGAGAGCTATATAAAATATTTATAAGACTCCTTGGAATTTGAATTTATATATTTCGAATTGTGAAACAATTACTTTTTTTCTAAAACAAATTTCTTAAAATTTTTTTTATAAAAACAACGAATTTTTTATTTTAATATGCCACTATAAAAGAAATACTTTTTATTAGATTATCTTGCAGATATTTAGATCTCTCTCATTCTGATCAAAACTCAGCTGTTGAGGGGAAAGATTAAACATGTTTTATAATCCCTTTATTCAATTTTTACAAATAAACTGAGGATTATATTCAACAATATCTTTAGATACATGTGGAATACAATCAGATACGTATCTCTCAGCAGATACATGTAAAATATAAGGCTGTAACCCACTCAAAATTTGAGAAATAAAGTGTACAAAAGTTTACATTTTCTATTAAGTTTTTGACAAAATTCAGAATAATACAATTCTGCAATTAGCAATTTTAGAAAGGTAAATAAAGTTATCGGTTTTTCGACTTTTGATAAATATCTTTGTTTTTGTGTCATTTACTAATGCAAATTTTTAGCAACATCCAAATCAGTTTAAACTGTAAAAAAAAAAAAAAATTCAAAGTAGACAAATTTGTTGTTTTAAATTATTGTCAAAAAACAGTAATCATATAATTTATAGTTTTTAAGAAAATTACATCGAAGATCACAACCCCCTTTGTTTTACACCCTTTTTGAAAGGTTGATTGAAACTATATCATTAATTAACAACAAGAAAACAAACTATACAATGGCGAGAATAGAGGTCTCTGAAGTATATCACCCATTTGCCCTATTTGCAAAGTATACAAACCAACTCTGATATCTACCAGGTAATTTTAAAGTTGATTGTCACGCTACAATAAAAGCAGGAACTCGAGTTTAGGCTGACATATCAACTACCATGCTTACCATATTTATGCTAACATAAAGTAAGAAAACAATATTAATCAAAATAAATGAAATATTACCTCATAATGAAGAAAGAAATTTTTGTCTTCATCACTAAAACAAGAAAATATATTGTTTTTTATTTATTATTATTTATTTCTAGGAAACTACTTAAAACGTAAGGGCCTTCGACAAACTATATCACACTTGGGGGAGGAAAGAGTTCTTAAAATTGTGACAAGGAGAAGGTGTGACATCACTCATATAAGAGTAACATCACTCATTGGGTTAAAACTATGACATTTAAAATCAGCAAATTATAAAGATTTATATAACTAGTTTACATATTTTTTTTTCAAATATTCCAAGAATATAAGAGCACATCTAACCGTTATTTCACCAAAATCATTAAAAAATTTTGCTAAAGTTTAAAAATAAAATTTGAAGTCAGATTTATAACAGGTATTTTATTTCTGAGCTGCTAGTATATGCTTTAACAATATAGTGTGACTTTTGACAAGGGGGATGGAGGGTAAAGTAACGAAGGAGAAAGTCAAAAATATTTAAAAAGTGTGACATAATTTATGTAGAGCTCTATGCATGTTACTGTAACTTTGAAGAATAATTGAAATGATTTACCCAGGAATTTCATAAACTGGATCATTACGCAGTGCAGCTTCTTCTGAATCGAGAGTTACCGAACAAAGTACCTATTAAAAAAAATCACAATCAAAGCAATGTCTGATCACATCTAAAGAAAAAGAAAATATTTGAAACTTAAGTAACTTTATTCCAAATTGTTGCTAGCAAGATGCTCAAAATTATTATCGTGTTAAGTGCAACTTTCTATTGAATGTTAAATGTAATAAACTTTTTGTAGCGGGCAATTTGGAACAAAACACTTTATTCAAAGATGAATTTTCATAAAATTCATAAATTAATAATTAAAAAAAGAGCATTCATTAACATTAGCACCTAGTCATTTTATTTAAGGTATGTTGGATTATGCCTGTTTTCAAAATCTGTATTTTAAGATACATTTTTGTTAAATTAAAAAAGAAAATCAATAATTAACAAGTAATATAAATGTCAATTCCTACTTAAGGTCAACAAAGAAAAATTTTATTTTAGTTACTTTTATTAAATAATTAAAAAATTTTCCCTCCCATAAAACTAAAATTGATTCATTAAATTTAATGAATGAATTAATATTTGAAAAAACCTGTAATTAACATCGTGTGTCATCATCCACTACAGGTTCAAAAAGAAATGTATTTGAAGTTGAGTGGATAAATAAAAAGTATTTTATTAACAATTTGAACAAGATATAGGGAGAGTGATAGAAGGAATTGGAAAAAGAGATTCATCTACATCATAACCTATGATCACCTAGTGGTTTTAATTGAGGCATGTTTGATTATCCAACCTAAATATTTTTATTTTCCGTATTTTTAGATAAAGGATCAAAAGATAAATTTTTGTAAAAGATGTACTGATTAAAAAAAAAAGAATGAGCATTTATAAAGAAAGAACAGAGATTACTTGAGTTTGACCTCTCTCAAAAAGAGCGCTTCCATGTAAGGGCTTAAATGTGTCCACTTCGCACGATATGGGTCGCAAATCAGTCATCGTTCTTCCATCACACCTGAAATAATCATTAAAAAAATTTATTATAAAAATCAATTTCCTTGTTGTCAATGAATGGCAACAAAACACATACCTTATGCCTGTTTCTAAAACAAGGTTCCTAAATGTATTTTTATAAACAGAATTTATGGCTTGATATAAGATACTTGAATCACAGTCAGTATAGCTTTCTGCAAATAAAGGAATCAAGATTAAAAGTTGGCACTTTCTCACTTCCATACCTGCCAACATTGGAGAAATAAAATAATAGAGATTTTATTGGCGATATTTTTTAGGCTACGAGTAAAGTTTTGATACATCATGCATTATCTTGTAAGTCAAAAAGGGAAATTCAAAATTGGAAATAATATAAGCACTACCACTTAGCGAAGTAAACAATAAGTATATAAATCTTAATCTAAAGAAGATAACCATTACTTATAATTACTTAATTTAACTTAAACTATAAACACTCAACATACTTCATGACACCATCTGTTGAGGAATAAGAGATATTTTAACCACCAGTGAATATTTTATCAAAAAAAAATTTATTTTTTTTAATTTCTTTCACAAATACAAAGAAATTTAAGAATATATGGATAAACAGGAGATAATCGTAAAATACTGGAGTCTTCGTTAAAAAACAGGGGACTTGGCGGGCATGCACTTCTCCTAGGGAGCAACGAAAATCAACTGCTTTTTCAGGTGATTGATATTTTTTTAAACAATTAATAAACAGCTAAATTCACCAGCAAAATGGACCTAAAATAAATATTACAATCTTAAGTTATTACTAATCTTACTACTTATCTAACACCATACTTTCCTTTTCAAATCAAAATAAACAAAAGAGAAATAAAAGGCTAATATTATGTATAGTTTGTCTACAGTAAGAGCTCTCCCCACCGCAATGTCTGAGGCCATCTGCTGCCATGGAAATAAGAATAGTGCATTTCAGGGAGGGTAGATTCTCATCACTCTAGGGCTAACACAATAGACCGAAGAAAAAGTTCCCTTTCTCTCGCCAACCTGAGCCAAAACTTGTCATAATCAATGACCCCCCCCCCTTTAAATAGTTATACCTCGTAACCATAGTCACCACCACGGGTCCAAAAGAATGGCTAGGGGTGTTCTGACTTTAGACAATCTATAAGTATTTTTTCTCTTGGCAATTTTCGACTCCTCTCCATTGCCAGCAAACCTCCTCCTATGCTTACATAAAAAAATCAGAGCTCCCAAGTTTTTCATTTTAACTTTTACAGTACTAATCAAATTTTAGAATTAAATTCAAATAAAAGATATAACTTTTCAAAAAACAAAATGTGTGCTTTCATTCATTTTATAAACTTTGAAGTAGAATTCTAAAGGAATTTTTTGTGTTTTCTTTTAGTGTTAAAAACTGTTGATCTCCAAAATTCTTTGAAGAATTTTTTTTCCAATTTTTTTTGCCACTTGAAGTAAACTTTCATTCCAAATTTAAAAATGTTGCCATATAATTTTTTGGTAATATCTTTGTTAAATTTTTTTAAAAATTTACTTTTATGAAAATAAGGAAATTTTAATGCATTATTTATACTTCTCTCCCTTGTTATACCAAAATCAAACAAATCACAAAACTATCCCATCCACAAGGTTACATTTGAATGGTCATTAAAGTTTGGAACAATTTTAATTAACACAACTGTCTTTTGTATCGGATGCACTTTAATTAATATTTAAAAAGTTATGCATTTTATTTCTTTTGAATATCATTTCAAATTTCTAAAATCTATGAATTTTTGTTTACAGGATTAAAATTTTTTTACAGCAATTTATTGACAGCAATTTATTGACTAATATCTGTTAGTGGTAAAAGGAATTTTTCTTGAACGAAATAAAAATAAATTTAGAATTTTAAAATACAAAGCTAAATTTTAGTACATGAAATTTTTTTCAGACTACAAAAAGGATAAGAGATACCATCAAACTTTAGTATTATAACAATATATGTAATATAAAAATGTTTATGTTTATTATATTTCTTAATTTATAATGTTGTATAGTTCTAAATATTTAATTCGTTTTAGATATAAAAAATTAATTTGAAAACAGAAAGTTCTGAACAAAGTAGACAGAAATTATAAAATGCTTCTAAAGAAGAAAAGATTAAAACTGATCACTATCAACAAGGCTTACTTCTTTATTTATGGGCAATACTTATTTAATGACTCAAGCAAATAATAAATTGAGTAAAAACTTTATTCTTAGGAACTTTTCTTTCAACACTATTCCAATTTTTAGGGAATTTCAGAATATTTTAGAAAATTTCTAAGATTAAGAGAAACATGAAAAATCCAATAATCTATAAGAAAATTCAGTTGTATAGGCCCAGTGAGAATTGTAATTTATACGAGCTTTAAGCTAAAGAAAATACTATTAAATTATGTAGAAACAAAGATATTATTTTTTAAAAATATAACTGATGAATAATAAAGGTTCAAGATCTAAATTAGAATAAAAAGAGGAGTGTAAGCATTGTAAAGTGCCATTTAAAAAATAATCAGTATTTCATGTTACATAGGAAAAATATTCTTAACTTTCTCCTTCAATATTTAAACTGTATGAAAACTCATATTTCATAAAATATGCGACTATTCGGTCTGTTGTGTAGGCCGAACAACAAACGAGCTGCTGGATAGAACAAAGTTTCACTTTCCCATACATGTAAAAAATAAGTGTTCCACATTTTAACACAAATGATTGTGTAACATAAATGATGACATGTGAAAATTTATGACTGAACAAGTTATATAAACAAAAAAATTACATTAAATTCCTACTTAGGTCAACAAAGAAGAATTACTTTTATTAAATAACTAAAAAATTTTCTCCCATATAAAAGTAAAATTAATTAATTAAATTTAATGAATGAATTGATAATTGAAAAAAATGTACTAACATCACCACTACTAGTTTAAGAAAATGTATTTGAACTAGAGTGGATGAATAAAAAGTATTTTATTCAAGATTGAACATTTGAACAAGATAGAGGGTGAACTAATAGTAGGGATTGAAAAAAGATGATTGCTTTAGCATTCTTTATTTTTGCCTTCAACAACAAAAAGTTTTACAAATGGACAATTCTTTGTACCAACACGGATAGTATTAAAGCCATATAGTCACTTAACCGGAGCCCATTCTATTTGCAAGTAAAAAGCAAATAATTTTAAATCTAGAGTTTTTAAATCCATGACTTCTATTAAACACTTTTCATGACTCATGTGGGTAAATACTTTATGACTCAATAAAGTCGAAAGAAGATCCAAACGAGTATAACTTACTTTCTTAAAAACAATATTGTTTTATCTGAGCAATGTTTTGCACACTTTTTTAATAAGCCAATTTTAACAAATTCAGTAAAAAAGGAATAAACTATTACACTCAATAGCAATAAGAAACATACAAATTAGAAAATGGATTTAAAAATATTTAATGCCTCTTAAGGTCAATTCTAGGGAATATGTTAATTTAATTTCAAAGAAACAAAAGTATCAACATCATTTCTTGCACTATCAAATTACAATACATATAGATAAATTGAAATAAAAAAACATTTCAAAGATTAAACAAAAGTGTTATCCACGACTTTTCAGGTGTGTACAGGCATTGAAAATAAAATCTTACCTTTTAATTTTTCTAATGTTTCTTGTATCACAGCATCAACAGCCATCCCTCTCCTCATCTAAAATAATAAAAAATTCATTATTAATATTTCTACATTTCTTGAACTAAAAATGTATTATAATGTGTTATAAGAATACTAATAATAAAAAATTATACGGTATGAGTGCACTAAATATACTATAATTCTATGAGTATAAAAATAAAGAATCTGAAATATTAAGACATTATTGAATTATAGTATTAATTATTTGAACTTAAAAATAATCACATGAAATTTATTTGCATTCCGAGATTTGAAGTTTATTGATCAGTTGTTGGAAAAGTAATTCAGACATTTTTAAATCAGAAGTAGTTTTTAAAAGACCTTCTGAAAAATAATAAATTACTCTTTACATATAAATTTTTTATAAAGGAAAAATAAGTCATTTCTGTTTTTCAAATTCTAAAAACATTCTTTAACATTAAATTTTTTTTAAGTATTAATAACTAATTTATTAAATATAATACATAATGGAAAATCAAATCATAATTAATAATCATAAAAAAAAAATCTTTATCATGAATTTTGTCACAAGAATTTAAAAGTAGCAAAAATCCTCCCACTCAAACCGTTTCAAATGCGATTCTTGAAATTTATTATTAATCATAATAGTTGAAATGAAATTATTTAATATGAAAAAAGTGCAAAATTTTCTTGATTAAACTACACTGTGCATAGCCAAATCTTTCAACAAAAAATAAGCACCTTTTAAGTACTTTTTAAGAACTCAAAAAATATTTTTAAGCACTCTATACATTAACAAAATGCAAAATAATTTTCAAAGACTTTACATGATCATGATAAAATAACTAGTTTCTGATGTATAAAAAACTCTTTTTCTCGATTACATTAGCCATTATAAAATGATCAAGAAATCTTTCGGTTCGATATCAGAGGGTTAAAAATGAAGCCTAATATTGAGAATATCCTGAAAAATGCAAGATATCCTGCAAATGGAGGGTAGAAATGCAGCAGAGTGCAATAATCTCACCGAACTGAGCTCACCAGACGCACATGCGAACTTGCAAGTATTTTATTAAACATGTAAAATGATTGGTGCCTGCATGTGCTATGGACAGAAATGGATAGTGGTTGAATGAATTGCAAAAAGTTGAATAGAACAATGTGAAAAGTATGTTTTTGCATAATACGTGGTGAAATCTGCATGGTAAAGAACAAAAATCTCATTTCTCATTTATGGTCCCCAGTTTAATTGTATAAGGATAAGGAAAATTTGTTTATCAAAGAAATGTATTAAATAATTTCCGTTTTTGAGTTAAGATGATAAAAGTACAGAACAGGGTCGTTTCAATGTGGACTACCTATCCATGCAGACATTGGAGGTTAGTTTATCAACTGTTGTTAACAATTACAGTGTAAAACAGGGTTTGTTTGTTTTTTGTTACCTTTCTTTGACACCCACACTTCAGTGGAAGGTAACAATTAGAGAAATGTGAGATAAAACATGGCAATGATTTATTTTCACATAAAATTAAATGGTACTTATATTTTGATGCTCTACTAAATGTTTATTGCTCATTAAAATGAGTTTATTTCCTAAAAACATTTTACTATGTCTTACATTTACACACAAAACGTTGTAAAAATATAGCATTTAAGATTGACTATTGCCCCGATCCTTATAATTAAATAACCCACCTATTTGATTGACCTGAACTAAGGTTATTCCGTGAAGCGGGACTGACTATTTTAACTGGGGAAAAGCTGATTGTTCTAACTAAATCTTTAAACGAGAGGAACATTGAGACTGTTTAAATAGGAGTTGAGAACCTAGAAATAAAGAAAGAACTTCATGGAAAAAAGAATTTTTAATTTTTTTTCATTAAAACAAATGCAAAGAATCAGTCTAATTTTTAGGAAATTTAACTTCATAATAAAAAGTAAATGAAATATCCATAATTAAAACTCATTATAAGACGACTCATTATAAACGATTACCCATCTCTATTAAGGACAAAAGCAAGTAGTTTCAGGCATTAAATATATTTTTCATGGTTTTAGAACAATACAAATGTTGAAACCGTTAAATATATGTCATTTCTTATTAAAAAAAATATTTTTTAAAAAAATAGTGGCAAATTAAACATGAAAACCCATTACAATTTTTAGCATGAATAAAAAAGGTTTCTAAAATTAAAATCTGAAAAACGTCATTTAACTGTCAATGCATTTGTAGCATAGTTTAAAAATGCTTTTACACTAATTTTAAATCTTGACAGAACTTTCAATCTGAAACAAGTTAATTAAAGTGCACAGAAACAAGAGCATTGAAAATAAATTTAAAAAATTAAAATGAGTAATTTCTAAGAAATAATTCTCCTACTAGTGCGTGTGATGAATTAAATAACAATAAATAAAATCAATAAACAATACAGTAATGGCAGATTTTCTATTGATTCATAAAATATGAAATAGTGGTGACAAAATACTGCCAGTCATTGAAAATTCTCCATATTCAATTTTTACGATTGTAAACGTTTACATTTAATTATTATATGAATAACTAGAGTAAATGAGTGTAATATTTGTAAAAAATTATAAATATCTTTAAAAACAATTTATAGAACGAATAGTTCTCAAACATTTACTCTCAACGATTTATTCCAAATGTAATTTTTCCGTTTTTTCAAATTTTTCCAAACACTTTAAAACAATATATGAATAGTAAGAACAAAATGTTTGACAAGATATAAATATTGAATTGTTTAAAACACCAATGTAGGAATATGTTCTCTAAAGATTGATAACTCAATCATTTCAGAGTTAGGATTGATCTTGGATGAACATAAACAAAACATGCATCTCTAAAAACATTTTTTATTAATACTGAAATCATTTAGTTGTTATGCTTCAAACCCAATTAAAATCAGCCACCTGATATTATCACAAATGTGCATTTTTTTTTCCTCATGAAAAGGCTTTTCTCATTAATACAAAACTATTAAACGACACTGAAAATCTTATTATAAGCTTTTTATAGTAATAATTATGGAAGTCAACTGGTGTTATTGATTAATATACTTTTTAGTGTTTGAAATATAGAACAAACTAATCACTATGTTCTATACATTTGAATTTCATAAGATTTAAGTATACAATATCTTTTTGAAAATGATTAAAATTAAACAAAATTTTCTTTTAGTTTTTCTAAAGTAAGAACTCCCCTAGCCATTCCTCTGGACCCTTGGCGGTGACAATGGTAACGAGATACAACTATTTCAGGTAGGGGTCATTGTTTAGGACAGGTTTTGGCTGAGATCAGCGAAAGAATCTTTTGTCTATTGTGTTAGCCCTAGAGGGAAGAGAAGCTACCCTCCTTGAAATACACAATTCTTGTTACCGTAGCCACAGGCGGCCTAAGACTTTGCGGCAGGGGAAGTTCTTACCATAGACAAACTTAAAAATACAAAATCAGAGTTCAGTGGTTAAGTAGTTAAACAACAGTTCTTGTATATGTTCTTGCTTCTGTTGCATGTTCCTGTACTTAAGTTCATATAATTTTAGTAAACCAAATGTGTTGCAGTTAAACAAAATTTTATTACTTTGTTAAGGCAAAGTAGAAAACTTACTTTGTCTAAAGTAAAATCTCGAAAAATGTCTGAAAATTTTGCTTCACAGAGTCTGTAAAAATCATAAAGTTAGTCTATTTGTAATTATTATCATTCATAATCAACAATCAATATTAAAAGAATATATCTTACAAAGTTGCAGATTCTATCATATCTGATGAAGCCAGTGATGGCTTGCCAACAGGCCTTTTACATTTACCAAATTGTTGTTGAAGGTTAAGAATACCCTTTATTATTAACTGAGCTTCACTGACTCCAGCTTTAATGGCTTCCATAAACTGTTTTATTAAAACATGGTTAGCCGATCCTTCCAGCATAACTAGAAATAAACATCAATCAATCAATATTTGTGAAAATATAGCTTTGAGAAGAAGAATACCTTATCATGTTTTTTTTCCTTCAATATTTAAGAAATTTATTTTTGAGTTATTTAAATGTCATAAATATAATTCTAAATTTCTATTCCCAACATATATTTGTCTTTCACAGACTGAGTTAGTGAAGTGATTCAAAACTTATTAGGTTTCATTTTATTGCTAAAACATAGATTATAAAGTGATAAATAATTATGAGATGAGAACCATCTTTATATTGATAAAAAAGCGGGTAATTTCAGATTTCTTATCTGAAACAAATTTTTCATTCTCAGGTGTGTTCTTTTTCAATGAATGATCAGTGATACTGTCTGCCTATTTTAAACATATTTTCCATTGCATACCTGCCAACATTGGAAAAATAATATGACAGAGATTTTACTAGTAGTTTACGAGCAAAGTTTCGATACATCATGCATAATCACGCAAGTCAAACAGAGATATTCAAAATTGGAAATATAAACACTTACATGTAACGAGGTAAAAAATATGTATACAAATCTAAATCTAAAGAAGATTTTTTAAACCATTATTTATAATTACTTAAGCCATTAACACTCAACATACAGCAGTACTGGAAATATCACTATCAGTTGAGGAATAAAGAAGTATTTTTGGCCATCAGTGGATATTTTATCGACAATTTATTTATTTATTTTTTAAATTTCTTCAACAAATGTGGAGAAATTTGAAAATATCCGGGTAAAAGCAGAAAGTCCTAAAATAGAGTCTTTGTTAAAAAACAGGAGACTAGGCAGGCATGCCATTATATTTTAATTTCCTATTTTTTCCTTTTTTAAAACATTTAAAGGTACATTTTATGTACTGTATAAAAACAATAAAAAGTTAAAATACAAATTATAAAATTGTATGTTTGGTACATGAAAATATCCTATGTGTGCCATGAAACTCTTTTGAAATCCCCCTACCCCCAAGGAGGCAAACGTTCCATGATTTTTTTTAAGGGGGTACAAAGTAATATGTTCAAAAAATGAATCATTCTTGCATTTTTTGATAGTTTATCTTTTTAAGATTACTGTATCAAAATATTGAATTGATTTTCATAAAAATGTAAGAGTTAAAGCATAATATATCTAGTGTGGCGAACAACAAAGTGATTTATATAAACAAGTGAACACTGAGTTCATTAATGGATTTGCTCACTCTTAACAAAACATTTCAGTAAAATATTATCATTTCAACTTTTCTATTGACATAAATTGTTCAAATTATGTAAGAAAAAGAATTAATGATACCTTCAATATAAATAACTGAAATTGTAATTTCTTTAGCTGTACTAATTTTTAGTGAAAGATGCAGAGAGTTATTGTCAGTTCTTGAACAATTAGAATAAAATTTTAACTTAGCAGTCAAAGAATATGCTCAAAATGTAGATGACCGCAGACTGCTTCTCTCTCTCTCAAAAAAAAAAAAGAGACAAAACAAAGACTAGCATTCCAGACTTGAAAAAGCACCTTATGAATCTGGCCTCAATACATTATAGTTAATTGCAAAAATTTATATATTTATGCAGATTACTGATTTACTCAAAACTATGTTTCTCTATAACTAACTGCATATCTAGTGCGTAAAATTTTTACCTAATTTAATTCAAATTCTGACACAATGTTCGCAATAAATAAAGTTTTGTTTTATTGTTTATTTTTTTCAAAACATTACCATTTTATGAAGAAAAAAAATTTTTTTTTAAAAATCCTATGAGCAACAAAAACTACATTTGTATAGTTTAAAAAAAAATCAAAACAAAATCAAATTTGGATGATTCTTTTTCAACTTATGAGTACAGCAAGTTACAAATAATTATTAAAAAAATATGCTATAAACATTGTATTAAAAAAGAGCTAATTTTTAAAATGTTTGTATGGGTAACATGATAGAATGAAAATTAAAATGTGTACGATAAGATTATAAAAATGTATTTCTTATTGCAATTTTATTACTAATGTTTCAAAATTCATTACAAAAATCCTCCTTTTTCTTGCAGACTTCTATGCTGTTGTTTCCCTTCAAGGGAAAATTTCCTATTCTTACAGTCAATGCATCGAAATTGATGGCTTAATTATAAAATAAATATAAAAATTAATATCTGCTTGCATCAAAGGAGATTAAACAGTTTTTTATGTCATAACAGGATAATTTCTTTTTAATATTATATATACTTTAGGAGTTAAAAATATATTTACAACAATAAAAAATATGTTTTTAAAATTATGTTTTAAAACCAGCAAAAGGAAAATTTATCATAACCATCTGTTTTTTGTGGGGAAAAAAAACTATTCAATAGCTACTTTTTAAGATCTATAATACGTTTAAAAAAAATGCAACAAAAGTTCACTTTGATTGTTTGCATTCTGATAAATTAAAAAAAAAAAATTCTCATAATGTCATATTACAAAAATCACCAAAAATAATTTATAACACAACTAATGCTCATCAAAACCTATTAACTAAGTAATACAGTTACAATAAACTTTAAAACTAGGAAAATCAATAAAAGCTTGAAACAATTACATATTAAAATACTATGAAAAATTTTAAACTACTGATTCCTTAAAAAAATTATGTGTTAGATCAATGATTGATGTTAGATCAATGTTAGATCAATGAAAAAAAAGTTGAGTTTACTTTAGATTTTAATCAAGCTAATTAAATGATTAGTTGATTTTAATCAAGCTGATTAAAATCAACGAATTCCACTCATAACAATCACTATGAAAGTAAGAAAATCAAGGGGAAAAAACAGTAATTAGACAAACTAAAAATAAAAGTGATAAATATTTCAGGAAAAGCTAAATTAAAAAAACATGAATTAAAATCTGAATTGAAAATACATTTCCAGTCTAAAATAAAGAAATCAATTTAGTAAAGCAAAAATACCACTTTAACAACTAAAGTCTCTAAAATTTAAAGGGGGAAAAAAACACTTAAAAGTGCCTTAACTGTTTTATGACAAGGATGTAATATAACTCTTTTAAAACCATGAATGCTAGTATTCCTATTTTCAACCTACCAACATTATTTTCTTGAGTTGCAGTAATTATAAGATTTAGAGAGCTTTTAGCTAAATCTTGCCTCGTGGGATTAATTATAATTTTATCATTTATGAGTCCTACACGAACAGCTCCAACTGGACCATTCCAAGGAATATCAGAAAGACTTAATGCTGCAGATGCTAAAAATTAAACAAACCAACATTTAAATACATTTAACAGTTTTACATTCAATAGCAATGTCATCTACTCAGTATTCAACAGTTTAAATAGATAGTATTCTATCATTGACATATCAAAACAATAATAACATTACTATGTTGGCAATAACTATTTCCCACATTACTGAATTAATAACAGTAGTATTTAGTGCCTGTTTTTTTTAAATTTAAATTACAAAATTATATTTTTATAGCATTAGCTAATTATTCAAACAGGGCGCATAGTCAGATTTTTCAACAAAAGATAAGCACCATTTAAGTACTTATTAACCACTCAAAAAAAATATTTTTAATCATTTTCCAAAAACAAATCATAATTAGGATCTGTGCAGTAATAAAAATTATTTTATTCTATTGTTTAAAGTTCTCAATTTATAAACATAAAATTTAGAAACATTTTCAGAAACTTTGCATAATCATGATAAAATAACTAGTTTCTGACAGGGTTTGTTGATTTAAATCAGCTTGATTTAAATCACAATTTAAACCATGATTTAAATCGAATGACTTTTATAAAAAAAACATTTGATTTAAATCGATTCTTTTTATAAATAGATAGTACAGTACAATCTAAACTGCGCAATTGCTTAGAAAATGAGAAAGCTGGAAAATTTTTGTTTCTTTTTATACAGTTTAGCAACAAATAACAAACTATTGTATTTATGTTATTAATTTCAAATCTCAGAATGAAAATGTCTATATCATTAAATTAAATAACCCATAATTAGAATTGTGCTGTCTCTTTTATCAATAAGTATTTTTTTCTTCAGAATATGTTTAAAGTATCTTTGACATTATCAGATTTTCTATAAAGAAATTTTGTGAAAAAAAATTCCAATGAGTACATAGATTTTTTTAAAAGTTTTTTAGCTTAACTTGCCTATTTTGGTATAGGATTAAAAAGAAATATTTTAATACAAAAATACATAGATTAAATATCTATTTATTTTTTGATGAATGACTACATTTATAAACACAATCTGTTACATTTATTTTGTCATTTTAAGAATCAAGAGGGAAAAAAAAAGAAATCACAATTTTTAATTAAAATTATGATTTGCTAATTGAAACTTTGTTTTAATAGTTAAAGTATTCATTATTTCAACTAATGCCTTAGTCTTATATTTAAAATAAATTAAATAGCATTTATATGTGCTATTAGAGTTACAATTTTTAAAAATAATTATTTTTCAAATTTTTTTACAAGACTCATTTTTTAGTAAAAATATTGTTACATGTACATAAATATCATTTTTTTTATGTTAAGAAAAAGCTTGATATTGCTTATATTTTGCAAATACACATTTTTTTAATGAATACCTAAGAATAGATAAAAGAATTTTACTTCAAAATTTATGAGAACAAATTGTAAGTTTACAAAATATCAAAGGGGATAGCTATGATGAATTACAGTAATTTTGTCAATAAATTTTCATTTTTCTGATCTACAAAATACATAGACATGCATGCATGCATGCATATATATATATATATATNATCCACATCAAGCAGTTGATTTGCGCATAAAAATATAATGCTCAGAGAAAAAAAAAATCCGGTGAAGTAAATTAAGACTCCCGGTTAAAAAACAATATTGAAGAAGAAAAAAAATAAGAAGCGAGATGTTATAAACAAAAATATAAAGAAAAAAAATTAATGCACGAACTGCTATAAGCAAAAAATGAAGAAAAAGCAATAATGAGAGCAATGCAATAAATAAAAAAAATGAGCAAAACTTATATTACTGTATATAAATATATATATATATATATATATATTCATCATCTACAGCATCAAAGTAATGACAGTAATAATTCAACTAAGAGATGAATTTATAATATACCTGCATTAATGCTCAAAATATCAGGATCATTGATACAATCTAATGCTAATAGATTACATGATATCTGTAAAAAAAAAATTTAAAAAATTACTGAACATGAAAAAGAAAGTAAAATAATCACAAAATATTTTTTTTAAAAATCAGCTGACTACTTAGATTTTTAAAATAAAAGTGAAGAAAATAAAAGACAGTCATAGGGTACATTGTTTAAAAAAAAAAATTAAGAATTCCAAATTTTTAAAAGGCTGATATCTGGCCTGTCAACCATTAAATTTAAAACATTGATAAAAACAACTTACAAAACATTATCAAGAATAAGTAATAAAATTTGCAAACATTTTATACACTTTAAAACATTTTTCTTCTTTTCACTTGGATATATTTAATGCTTTTATTAATTTTTTTATAATATTTCTTACATTTAAAAACTCTTATTTATTTATTTTCAATAAACATGCAAAAATTTGAATCATTTAGACAAGTTGGATAAAAAAAAAATATATTACTAGATACAACTCAGTATAATAATGCTTAATCAATATAATAAATCCAATTATATAGGCAATCAATAAAATAACATAAATTACTAATGCTATAAATATAGTTTTAAAAGTATAGATTTCATCTATTAATTTTTTTAAAAGGAGAGTTTAACGAAGGAAATAAGAGAAAAAATTTAAATTGCAAAAGGAAATTGCTTATTTATTTATTTTTTGCCTATGCTCCACTTGAAATAATGTATCAAAGGAACTTAGTGAAAGTTTCATAAAATATTTTTCCTAATATTTATATTAATTCATTAATTGGGACATACATGAAACATTTTCTCTTGAATATATATAAACTGCAATTCATAGAAGAGAAAAAAAAAGCACTTGATGCTTAATAAAATGTATAAATGTAATAATTTTTTGTAATTTTTTTAAAAAGAGCTTTTCCTTTTCACATACATGACATTGTCCCTGATTTTCAAAAAAAAAAAATTTACTTACTTTACATTCAATGCATTACTAAAGAAGTTTCAATTACATATGGGATTTTTTTTTAAAAATTGATTTTATAATTCGTGTTTACCAATATTCAAATACCTTGAATTTGTATCTATCAACTTATTAGTCATAACAAATAAGCTTAACAGTACGGGTGGAGAAAAAAAATAAGTGTCCGAAAATCCAGGATGGCCACAAACACTCAGAAAAAAAAAATTTGGCTGACTTTTCACTGATTCAAAATATTAAATTTTATAAGGCATTCAAAATAAATCATTTTCCTTGACTTTTTGGGAAATTTTAATTAAGCCCTGCCATTCATCTTTTCTTATCTGAATCCTTTTTAAGACGGCTGCACTCTGTAACAATAAGTTACTGATCTAGCGCAAAGCTTTTCTCAAAGAATTTGACTGTAATCATTTCATTTTGCAAGTTTTGTTTTGAGGTTTGCAGTGAAAATGTAATTTGTACAAATAAACTAGAAAAGAAAGAAAGAATCACCTGTGTTTCAAGAGAAAATCCTTTAGGGAAAAGTGGCCGGATAGATCTGTCTAAAAAATAAAAATGTAAGAATTACAATTAAAATACAGAATGAGTCCGTTATATTAATAACGTTGTAGCCATTCAAAATAGACGATGATATATTGCCTTCACAAATTTAATGTTAAAATTGCATTAAAGAAAAAATGTGTTTCATGGGGAAAATGGCTGGTTGGATTTGTCTAAAAATAAAATTTTACGTATGGCTATTAAAATACAGTTATAATAGCAATTCATAATAGAAGATGAAATCGTCTTTTTGTGTGTGTGTTGCTATAAGCAAATACAAAAAATCAATGCTAAAATTGCAATAACCAAAGCTTAAAGATGAAATAAACGTATTTACCTCATTGTCTTTTATTTCGGACCGCTATTTTTTTTATTAAAAATGCAGATCTAGCTCTGACATGACATTTGTATTTTTAATTACACCTCTATTTTAAATTACAACTCTGTATTCAATAAATTTATTTTATGAATTTAGAAATATTTATGACAAGAACAGTAAAAAAAAAATTCAGCAATTTGAGCTGCACATCACTAATACTCCTCACAATCCTCAGATTCATTCTCCACACGAGAATATGAATTATACTAATGGTTAATATCTATAAATTAATGATTAATATTACTTAATTATATTACAAAAGTTTACAATGAATGCCTTCAATAACTTTTGACTTCATGATAAGATTTTTGAGTCCTTCATTCTCACACTTTAAGCTGATCACGTAAAAGAAACATATTAGTTAAACATTTATTTAAAAATTGAAAACAAAAATCTATTTTTATAAAGGTTCAAATAGGTAATTTAATATGCATAATTTTACAACAAAAAAAAATGGTTGAAGAGTTTAAAAGATAATTTATAAAAAGTTCATAACTAAAATAGTAAAAAAAAAATGTTTTAAAAATATTAAAAATAATAATATTACCAATAACTCTACTAGTTAGTATTTCTTTGTCAGTTTCACCAAATTCTCTTCGCTTCCGAGTCATCGGTATACGACCAGCTGCAGCCGCTTTTTGACGAAAATCTACCTATCGAAAAAAATATTAGTTATCATTCAAAACATCGCCTTAACATTAAAAACAAGGAAACATTATCAAGATGTATCACTTAGACTTAATTCTCTTTACGCCAGATGGCGCATGAAAAATAACTGTATTATTACGAAAAAATCAAACTTTGAAGCATAATAACAGAAAGTTTTAGCAAAATAGAATTGGTAGGACTGTTCAGTTAGTCACAAAAATCAAGCATTTGGCAATTACTTTTTAATATTTGAAGTAAAAACTTTAAAAAAAAATTTTAAAAATAAAAATCCTCAAGGATAGTCAAACAAAATTTTTCATTTAATCATAAAATTAAGTAAAAGCTTTATAAAATTTTTTAATAAATTAATTTTTTTAAAAAAAAGCCTAAAAAATATATTAACATCTTTTTATATCATTTTTTAAAATAAAATANTAATAATATTTTTTAAAATAATATAAGCATTTTTTTTAAAGCTTTCAAAAGCAAATAAAAAAAAATTTCAAAATCTGAAAATCCATAAGAAATTTTCAAATAAAATTTTTCATTTAATCATAAAATTAAATATTAAGCTTAATAAAGATTTTTAATATTTTTTTAAAAAAAATAAGAAGCTTAAACAAATATATTCTAATATTTTTATATCATATTTAAGTGAATTCACTCCTGTAAAAAAATGAAGAAATACATTCAAACATCATTAGGAATTTTTAAAGCATAAGATACATATTTTGAAAAGATTTAATACAAGTGTTTCGTATCAACGTGAATTTTGAGGAATCGCTAAGCTTGTAAAACAAAATTAATAACAATTGCATTTAAATAAAATATTCAAAAAAAAAAATAAAAGCTCATTGATGAAAGTGACAGTTTTAAACAAAAAGACAATTTACAAAACCCACAAAACTTACTATTTGTTAATCTTTTCTTACGCTCAACTTTAAGAATAATCAAATTCACAAAAAAGAAAATAAACACAGTGAAAAAAATAATAATTATTTTTTTAACAGTTTGTAAAAGGAAGTGTTGAAAATAAACTGGGATTAACTATTTAGTCCTATAAATACAAACAAGTGACACAAGTGTGTCAATACAATACGAGTGTGTCTAGTTCAGACAATAGTCTATACAGGCAGTATAAGAAATACTTACTGTAAGCGGAACAAAAGAAGACGGTGAAGATTTTCTGGGGTCACAAACAGCAGTAGCCATAACAGATGTTTCTCCCAACTTTGCAACACAGCAGCCATCCGTTATCTTTGCAATCTTACCAATTGAAAATCTAATTGGCTCTCTAAGATTAAAAAAAAAATAACAATCATACTTTTCATAACAAACGCTATGAAATTGTGAAAGAAACGTCATGAATCAAATGTATTAAAAATAGTGATAGTGCAAATTCGAAACTCCTGCATCGAAACAACATTGTATTAAACATCCATACGAAAAAATCAAAAAAACAAATGACAAAAATTGAATGGAATTGTCAAGAACCAAACGCCTCAAAAAAGTGATAACTGGAGTTCAAAATGCACCTTTCGTAATAACGTATTAAATACATCAGAATTTGAAAAACCATACGGAAACGATTCGAAAAAAATTGTTAATTAAAGACAGAACAAGATTTATTTCCGCCGAAAAAACTATCAGAAAAGTACGTGACCAAAAAATTGGAGCAAATAAGTTTATTTTTTTCCACCCTTTAATATATCGTGGCCCATATTTAATTAGGAATGCTGGAAGGAATTTTTTTATTCATAGGACAAACAGGGCGTCATGAATGAATCCTGTGTTTGTAAACATATATTTTTTAATCAGTTTTTAAAACAGAAATAAAAATGCGTGCCACAATCCTTGTAAATGCCTCTAAAAATATAAAATGAATTATCTCAATTTAAAAGGTGAAAACAGATGGTTTTTTTATATATATATATATATGCCCACTTTCTCCCTGTATCCACTTTACCCACCTGACACAACAGCTTGTCTTAAAATTAATACATTTCAGGGGTCTGTTTAGAAGAAATTTGGGTTGGTTAACGGACTCTTCACAAAATATCTTTTTATAAAAAACGGATCCTTCACAAAATATTTTGACTCAAAAACGGACCCTTCACAAAATGATTTTTCTTTTAATCAGACCCTTCACAAATTTGTTCATCTTCATTATTGTTTTGTTAATCAAATAAACTCTTCCCAGGGCAGAAAACAAGAAAGATGGATGTAAACGAATTAAGTTTTGTCTTCGGCAGACGATTCTTCCATTATTCGTCCGAAATGAATATTCTGCGTTAAGCAGTATAGGCTAAATACCAAATATTTGTAGGTTGCATCTCTAATTCAGAAGCAGCAATTGCTGTTAATTATTGAAAATTTATTTTCTTTTATTATAATTTTACAGTGCCGAGCATAATCTTTTATCTATTTACAATGTAAAAACTCCTTGAAAAAGTTTTTTGCAATAACCGGACCCGATTCGCATAAGTTCATAAAAGCAGGACCCTGGTTGAAAGAATGTGAGTAATTTTTTCACAATTTCACGAAAACCGGACCTTTTGGAAAATGTCTGGACAGACCCCTGCATTTACAACAAAAGCAAGTTTTTTAAAATATCAAAAGAAATCTCATCCTCAGTTTAAGAAGTACTGTTCTCATTATAGTTTATTTTAGACTATTTTAACTGTTTTTTTTTTTTATCAGTGCAAGTATGCTAATTGAGCTGTTTCTAGGACAGGAATTACATTTTCTATTTATTTAGGGTGTTAAAGTATTTAGTTTTACATTATGAAATCAAACAACTACTTTTACTCACATACTTTTATTTTTTATAGCATTTCTTATTAAATTTTCAGAAAATAACCTAAAACTAAATAAATTTGCATTTTCGTATTTTAGGATTCATATTTCATGGATGTAATCTTCTAACAATGGAAAAAGAAATACTGCGAATTTCTGTTCTTATCTGTTTCTTTCATATATGTTTCTTAAATCAACATTAAGGGCTGTTATAATTCTGGTAGAAATATTGTAATTAAAAATACAAAAGGCATGAAACAACGAAAAGTTCAAAAACTACAGTTCTCACCCTCCAATGTCAACTTGAATCATATCTAATGAAGCATTATTCCATTTACGACGTCGGAAAACATTGTAACTTTTTAGGACTTTATTTCTTACAGCTGGAAATTTTGCAACTAAACAAGAGGCCATCTTAATGATTTTACTAGGCGAAGTTGTGTTTATAATTTTCGGAAAAGAAGGATTACAAATTTAATGCGAACAAATCACTTTGAAAAGTAAACATTAAATAGAAATAAATATGTATTTCGCAGTTTAAATTTTCTAATTTCATCTTCAAATAATATGGTTTTAACTGAATATTTCTGCCCTACATGACTCCTTACTAAATAAATTTTTTGATGGCTGACGGACTTGATAATAAAATACACCTATTTGATTGGCTGATACTATCATTGTGTGTCTGTGTAACTAATCCCCTCACTGTCTAACGGCAGTTAGACATTATCAGTGAGTCCACACACTCAAAAAATCCAGCAGGGCTAGCAAAGGGTCCGTCGCGAAAGTCTCCTTTGAAAACTATAATTGCTTTCATCGTTATCATATTTGGCATTTCTATTCCTTGCTTGGCAAAAAGAATCATTTCAGAATTTGCTTCTTTCGTCGTCCTCTGTCCCGCAGTGAATTGATCATTAAAACACGGTTCCCAGCAGATCACCAAAGTTAAGCATCACTGGCTGTGGTCAGTGTGCGGGTGGGTCACCACTTAAATCAGTCTGCGTAGGGACCGAGGGTGTGCGGTATGGGTCCTCGTTAAACTGTTCTACCGCAAAATGCTCGATTTCACGTGTAAATCGTCGGGTTACCGAGGCGAAAGTGCCATCCCCTCTGCAGATGATCGAATTTGTGATGACATGTCTTCGATCATCCTCAGGGATGTTTCCCCGACCGTTGCCAATAGCCCATTATGTACCTCCCGTGCGACATAAATGAATAACAACAACATAATCGTCCTTTAATATTAACAGCTTGTCTTTATAAGGAGACGTGGGTAGAGGAATTAATAATTTCTTTGCCACCTGTTCTTCAACATTTTCTACAAGCGTACGGAAATAAGAGAGTTTGGAAATTAGAATAATTTAAAAAATTTACATCCTTGTGTCATTTTCTTAAAATTTATTATGAGAAATTTTCTGTCAAATATAATGTCTTCTTTTTAAAGTTACATTTGTTTGTTTATTCAATTATTCATTGTGATTTATGAGTATTCGCATCGAATATTTATTTTGGAGATAAAAATGTAATTATTTTCTCTGTAAAATTAAGTAATAAAAAATAAGAATTTTTCTTCTCTCTTAATAGGACAATCATAAGTTTTAAAATGTAAACTGTTTAAAACTAATTGAAAGAAGTTTTCGAAGTTTAATTATTCCAATCTCCAAATGAAAATGTTATTAATACGGGAGGCCATTAACTTTTTTTTTTTTTTAAGAAAGGGGAAAAAATTCAAATTTTTTCGAAAGAAATGTGTAATAATGAGGTCAATTATTTTGCTGTTAACATATTTACAATATGTTAATTTTTCCTCCAATATATTATTGTTTTATTGACTTCATACTTAATTATTCTAGGCAATGAGCCATGATTGGTCTGTAGTTAAACACTGACATGTTGGGAAGAACTAAGGTTCGATTCTCCTCAGCGACTTCAAGCCGCAATTGCCCGAAGAGTAATTGTACTTTCAGACAATTGTCTGGAAAGTAAAAGGGGCCCACTCGTAATTCAGCCCACATTACTCCAATTAGACCGTTGGTCTCGAAATTGTGGAAGTAAACCTTAATGAACCTCTGGTCCACAATGGGCTGCTATGGGAATGTTTTATTTTTATTCCATACAATAAATAATGATCCATTTATAAATAAAAATATTAAAAAAAAGAAATTAATTCGCAACTAACATGTTGTTGTTACTTTACGTCGCACTAGAGCTGCACAATGGGCTATTGGCGACGGTCTGGGAAACATCCCGGAGGATGATCCGAAGACATGCCATCTCAATTTTGATCCTCTGCGGAAGGGATGGCACCCCCGCTTCGGTAGCCCGACGACCTGCGCGCGAAGTCGAGCACTTTACGGTAGCACAGTTTAACGAGGACCCATACCGCACACCCTCGATCCCTACGCAGACAGATCCAAGTGGTCACCCACCCGCACACTGACCGTAGCCAGTGATGCTGGACTTCGGTGATCTGCTGGGAACCGTGTCTTAACGATCAGTCCACAGCGGGACCGCAACTAACATGAAGACGTAATTTTGTAATATCCCCCGAATCGAATAAAAAATCATTTGTCAATCACAAAATCTCGTTGAATATCAAATAAAATAACATATTCTATCATACTTTAAAATGAAAATATAGTTTCAGAGGCTAAAAAAAAAAATAATTATAAAATTAGCTGAAATTATTTAAAATAAATTTATTTGCTGAATTTAATAAAAGAACAGTAATTAAGTAGACGAAGATATAATTAACTCGACCTTATGCCGAATTTTTCGCAGCAATAAATAATAGACCAGCATATAAAGAGATGAAATAAAAATTATTATTTTATAAAATTTTTAATTATTCGATGTTTGAATTAATCCTTTTATTCATAGCACTGAAAGGCTTTGACAGAGTCTCTCCCCCCCCCCATTTAACACGAAGTTTCTACCAGGTCAGACTTTTTAATATTTTCTTTTACAATCACAGGAAGGCTTCTGCACCACTCGTTATCAATCACTATCTCCGGAAGAAGTTACTTTTGCACGTTCTTCTCACTCTTTTCTCTTAATTCTGATCATCAAAAAGTTCTCCACGAAGGCAAATTTATCCCAATACTTGGACATAGGAGTTCCCTTGTCTTCTGGATTGGGTACAAAATTACAAGACTACGCAGTTCAACATTAGCAGTCGTAAACCCAAAAATTGCTGTCGGCTGTTCAACGACGTTATAATAATAAAAAAAAATATTTAGTCTTTGAAATTTTATTATTTTTTCATCGTTTGGTTTCATCAATACTGGTCTTAAAATTTTATTTTATGTCAGATATAGTTAGTTGAATTTACGGCTTTGGAACCGGCATGTTTTTAATTAACAATTATTTTTATTCATTAAATTAACATTCATTATTTTAAATTGCGCTACTTCCAATTTTTACGCATTTTAAATTAAACAATTAAACTTCAGCATTTTTTTAAAAAAATTAAGTCATATTTGCTAGTTTATTACCATTACATTACTTATGCATAAGTTGAATATAAATGCTCTAAATGGGGGTTTTCGTTGAAATAAAAATGAAAAAAAAAAATGTTGAGAATGGTTATCAGAGAAACATTCTTTGTTGAATTAGATTATTTTGCATTTTTCAATAATGCATATCTTTTTCCTCATTCATCCAATATTTTGTGTCTCTCAGTGGAATGATCGAACTGGAGACACGGTTCCCAGTAGAACACCGAAGTCAAGCATCACCGGTCAGTCAGCGGGTGGGTGACCACTTTGCGTAAGGACCGAGGGTGCGTAGTATCGGTTTTTGTTAAACTGTTCTACCATAAAGTGCTGGACTTCGTGCGCAGGTCGTCGACCTACCAAAGCAGGAGAACCATCCCCTCTGCAGAGGATCACAATTGTGAATCTTCGGATCATCCTCAGGGATGTTTCCCAGACCGTCGCCAATAGCCCATTGTGCAGCTCTAGTGCGGCGTAAATAAAGTACTTGCCCACCTTACTTAAAAGCTTGATAAGAATAACAAATTCAAGCTTAGACCTTGACTTTTAGTTTAAAACATCACTCACATTATTTAAACCATTCTGCTAACATCTACATTCAAAATTTCAAAGAATTCTGTAATAAACTTTTTTTTTTGGTAATGCGTGTCAGCGTAAAGTTTTCTCAAAATCAACGTTCTTCAGAAGAAGTACTGAAATGTAAGGAAATACTGACAAAAAAAAATCATTATTCGAAAATGAATTTTATTAAGTTTATTATCGAGTATATTCAAACAAATACGGGTTCAAATACTCAAAACAAATCTTAGTTTTTAGTTTCGTTTTCGTAAATTTACTTCCGGTTTCGTCTGTTTTTATACAGAAAAAAAGACTGTTTAACTCCATATCTAAAAATCGGAGATAATAATTTTAAAGTGTTTCGGAAAGCTGGCGAACTTAAGTTTAAATATGAATAGTAAGGAATCAAAATTTTCGTCGAAATCGAATCCCTTAATTGGCGTTGGCGAGTTTCAAATTATCTCAATTTTATTGAAAGAAAAATCAAATGCAGCAACATGTTTTCATTTTAAATCTTCCGTTGTAGAACTGCCGATTGTTCTTGATTAAGTCACATTGGGAAACTGAAATCGGTGTTTGTAAGTGTAAAATTTTCGGGTTTTTTTCCTTCCCTCTTGATAAACATGAAGCTAATAGTAATTTTATCTATTTTTTTTTATTTAATTCGTCTCTTGATAGCGTTGAATTAACTGTCTCCAGAATTATTAATTATAATCATTAGTGATTTTTTTTTTAAATAATTGCATTAGCTGTTAAATTTTGGAGAAATTACCAAAAACTGTTTTGTTCGGTTTTTCAATGAATTTGTTTTTGAACAATGTTTAATATATGAATTTGTTGGTTAAATAAAAACAGTACTTATTTGTGAATTTATGTTTTTATAAATTTATTGAAAATAATGATGATTAAAATATATTAAAATACTTTGCAATTTTTATGTGTCGCCGTTTTATTTTAAGACTTAAATTATTTTTTACCTTGCAATTTAAGCGAATTTATAAAATTTAATATATGCTTTATGAAGTAGGAAAAAAACTTTCTTTTGGCTCATTAATGTAAATGATATAAAAGTTTAATTTAATGTTCATTTCTCCATTAATTTAGATCTAAATTAAGATTTATTTGTTGCTTTATGTTATTTTATAAAGATCGTTGAACAGCCAACCCAATTTTTTTTTTTATCTTTACGACTACTGAATTTCAATTTCGCTACGTCATCGCTGTGGTCCGTGCAAGCCGAAATTCGTATCGACAAACTGTCCCTGGAATTCGAACCCGGTTCGCCTCATTAGAAGGCGAACGCTTTATCCCCTGAACAGCCAGTACTCCTAAATTAAGATTGTTGTTATGTATCTGATACTATTGGTATTTTGTTTCTGTAACTGATACAAAAATGAAATGGCATTTAACGAACTTTAGTTGACATACCTTCTTATGATACATAGGGTTTAGACATTATTATAATAGTTATTCAAAGTTTCAAAAAAATCAAGATCGATAATTAAAAACAAAGATTACTTTATTATAACTTCACATTTTTTACCACTGAATTATCAAATGAAATTAACTTAAAAAGATCAACAGGAAGCAAGCTATTTACAATCAATCCAGACAATGAGATGGCCCGAGTTCGAAT